TAGATAGCTAAAACAATTAAACATCCAGCAATCTACATCGTTAGGCGTTTTCATTAGATAACTACAATAATTAAGGATCCTATAGAATCACTACAGAAGGACTTTTCATTAGACAGCTATATTAATTAAACATTCATCAAAGTATACAACTATAACAATCATCTTCCAAAGTACACTACAATTGATCTTCATTAAACAGCTAGAATAAACATCCTACAAAGTACACCGAAGCAGGCGTCTTCATTAGATAGCTACGCTAAGCATCTTATAGTAAACAACTCAGTTGTCTTCTTCAGTAGATAGCTACGCTGAGAGTCTTATAGTGAACAACTCAGTTGTCTTCTTCAGTAGATAGCTATGCTGAGAGACTTATAGTAAACAACTCAGTTATCTTCTTCAGTAGATAGCTACGTTGAGAGTCTTATAGTAAACAACTCAGTTGTCTTCTTCAGTAGATAGCTACGCTGAGAGTCTTATAGTAAACAACTCAGTTGTCTTCTTCAGTAGATAGCTACGCTGAGAGACTTATAGTAAACAACTCAGTTGTCCTCGTCAGATATCTACGCTGAGAGACTTATAGTAAACAACTCAGTTGTCCTCGTCAGATATCTACGCTAAGCATCTTACAATGAACAACTCAGTTGTATTCTTTATTAGATGTCTACTCTAGGCATCTTACAGTAAATAACTCAGTTGTTCTCATTAGATATCTATCCTAAGCATCTTACAGTGAACAACTCAGTTGTATTCTTTATTAGATGTTTACTCTAGGCATATTACAGTAAATAACTCAGTTGTCCTCATTAGATATCTATCCTAAGCATCTTACAGTGAATAACTCAGTTGTATTCTTTATTAGATATCTACTCCAGACATCTTATAGTAAATAACTCACTTGTCCTTACTAGATATCTACGTTAAGTATCTTACAGTGAACAACTCAGTTGGATTCTTTATTAGATATCTACGCTAAGCATCTTACAGTCAACAACTCAGTTGTATTTTTTATTAAATATCTATCCTAAGCGTCTTACAGTAAACAACCCAGTTGTTTTCTTCATTATATAGCTACCCTAAGCATCTGACACTAAAGAATTCCGTTGTATTCTTCATCAGATAGCTACGCTAAGCGTCTTACAGTAAACAACCCAGTTGTTTTCTTCATTAGATAGCTACTTACTCTACAGTAGCCCACTGAATATGACACAGCAGGCATCTCTATTACACTGCTACGCTAAGCACCTTGTATAAAACGCCGCAAAAGACGTCTTTATAAACAGATAAGCAACCTACAAAATACGCCGCAGCGGGTGTCTTCCTGAGCGGATACGTTAGAGTAGTCTAGAGAGTACGGTGTCTTCTTCAGGAAAGACGTACCAACATCTAAGGGAATATGCCATAGCAACTGTCTCCATCAGTTACTCCGTTACAACAGCTTGCAGAATATTTCTTACAACATTGCTGTTTTTAGTCATGGCTACAGTTCAACTGATTAGTGAACCCAATTCATCAGTAAGTAATTATGGAGAATTTCCTTTCACTTAACACAATATCTTATTTTTGTCTCGTTTTTCACTCTAAAGTATAAGTTTACTAGGTATTATTAATGGAAAAAAAAAAGAGTAATATTGTCTATCGAAAACAAACAACGTTAGTAAAATCCAGTATAGAACCTGAATAAAGTATGAAATAATTATAAACTAGTTTCGTCGTAGAGATAAAGTCCTCATTTATCTTTAGGCAAGCTTACATAGAGAACCTCGTCAAAAAGCGTCTTATTACCACTAGTTAAGTTAATCGCACGTTGTCTTAGTAAATTAATGATTTTAACACCTATTCAAATTGAGGTCTCGCCGTTTTCCGTCAACCACGAAACCTTGGGTAGAAAAAAAAAAAAGAGGCATTACACGTGTATCTTAAGCTATCTGAAGAAGAAGGTAAGCGATTCTTGTGCTCAATCAGGGAATATGATATACTCACTTATATATTGTTTTCCAGTAGTAGTGGAGTTCTTTCTTTAGATGAGGAATACAAAGATACTTTTGTCTACTTCCTCTATCTTTCTAATTAGCTTCTTCCTCCTCTTGGCATGTAGTTGGAAATTTAAAACGTTTTAAAACTATGATAATAGTAACAAGGTTTTTACACCCATAACATTTCTAGCCTTCAAAACATAAGGAAGTAGTAATTTTCAATTAAAAATCTTACGTTGTTTGAGTTATAATAAGAAACGTTATAAATTATATTCCACTATAAACTTTCTTCTAAAAAACAAACTCTGTTATAGGTAATTTATTTTATCTATATGAGTTTTGAAGTCGTATTGTAGGCCTATTGTACTGATAATTTGGCATCACAATAACGAAATTTGAAAACATTTTTTACTATCTTAAAACGGATGTGTAAACTATAAACTACATACATTCGCTTCTTTTACTATATATGTATGGTTTGGATGTTGTTATGCACAAAGCTACACAGTGAAATATCTGTGCTGTGCCCACCACGGGTATCGAAACCCGCTTTTAGGCGTCGTAAGCCTGTAGATTTACCGCTGAGCCACTGAGGGAGAGGGGGCATATATATATATATATATGTATACGCCTTGTTAACTTGAAGAGCCGAATACAATCCACTAAATACTAAAAAATAAACTGAAACTTGCTATCGGAAGCTAATTCTTATTTCACTTTTTTGAAGTTGAGGAAATTAGAAATAGCAACAAGTACTTTTATTGTTTGTTTCTGTATGTAATACACCTATGAGGCCAGGTTTTCCTCAGGTTGAACGATACTTCACATATACAGACACTTTGAATGAGCACTATAGTTAGGCTCTGTAATCAGATACTGTGAATGAGCACTATAGTTAGGCTATAACAAACTGATTAAACATTTTGTTGCCTGAAAATATAAGCGATGTTATTATATCTTAGAAAAATAAGGAAAGACTTGATTATTACACAGAAATGTGAGTTGTTATATCTCCACTGGTTTGTGATGAAACTACTTGAAGTCTCAGTAGTAGATAAAAAACGAAAATTATTTAAAGTTTTCGTGTAAAATAAACTAACATATTATAAGCTAATTATAAATTTAAACTTTAATTAGGTTTATTTATGACTTTTTATCTATGGTTTAGATTAATATGTTTATCTTACGTCACAAACTAAGAACCTGAGAATCTTAAAACTTTCGAATCTGTTTTTGAATACGTGTTAATTGTCAAAATATTTTTTTACATTTAAAAATGTAATGAAGCTGTTATGAAAGAGTATCATATTTATTTTATAATTATCGTTTTTTTTGGGGAGGGAGAGTTAACTTTCTTTTTTTATGAGAAATTTGTCATCAATTATGATAAATGTGGTTTTAGTAAATGATAATTTTTTAACTGGACAGAAAAAAAAATCTTCCAGATTGAAATAAACCGTTTTATAAAACCCATAACATTTAAAAGTTTCCTCCTGAGCTACCCTTTACGCGATACATTCGTTAAACGGTCACGTCAGAAATTCTAAGGTCCAGGCTAGTTGTCCTTTATTTAGAACTGCTGTCCAGAGAAATGGTAATCATTTATCAGAAACCTCCGCCTACCCGCCTACTCTTAACTGAATCGGGGATAGATTGACACAGTTATAACGCTCCTATAAACAAAGTGTAAAACGTGTTCAGCGACATGTTGAGACTCGAGCCTTGGGCCTTTCTGAATCGCAGCCCGGCACGCCAGCCACTAGGCCATGATCTGCCGATAACTTTTATAGATGTGTATACGAATAGTATTTTGAATACTTATACTTATCCTGAAGCTCGAGCTTGCTTTAATATGATCTTGGTAATGTAACCGAGAGTGTGCAACTACAGTGAGCAAAATTATTCTGTTCCTAACAGTTTATCATGTGAGTCGTTCCCCTTGAACAATGTGTGTTAATAGTATCCAAGAAATTTGCACAACCTTCTTAACATGACTGTCATGTTCTTGGTTTTGTAATATTCGCGGACCTTTGTTTGTTGTTTATAGCGTCATGTTCACCACAGCTAGAAACTAAAGAAACATTGCAACCAGATTCTATAAAACTACTTCTCTGAACTTACCTTATATAGTCATTGTTTTGCAATGTAGTTCTTATAAGAATAGCTTGTAATAGTCACTCTGTGTTTTTGAGAAACGCTGTGACTCGTTGGTATTTAATATTATGACAGTTTGCTTTTCTTTTGCTTTGCTATATGTGTTTATGTATACAATTTTCAGTGTCTGCAGAAAGAAAATTATTTTAATACGTCAAATTGATTAAATACGTTATTATATCTTGACGTTCAGAAACTTTGCTTAAAACTGTCCTCTAATATTTTTTATGAATTGCGCGTGGCTAGTTGTTCACGTGCCAGGAGTGCGAATCCGTGATCCACAATTCTCGTACCTTTGTCGAAAAAACCGCTCCGTACATTGGAGCTGGGTGTGTGCTATAAGTGTGACAGTCAAGTCCAATTTTACGTCAGACAACAATAGCCCATGAGTTAGCAGTAGGCTTTGTTGAGTGATAAAATTAAAGACAGCTTTGTTCAGGTAGTTCTTTGTGTAACTCTGCGCTGAAATTCTAAGACAAACAAAAGATTTGTTTCATTGTTTAGCGTGTGAAAAAAAGCCTTTTTTTTAAAAGCACAAACACCTAAATACGTAAGTACACAGATCTCTGTAATCGTATTACAATAGTGTCTTCAACAGCAAGCGATATTTTCTCACCATGGCTGGCATACAAATCCTTAGTCTGGTTTTAGTACGTTCTTTACTCATCTCTAAGCTGTTGTTTTTATGTTTATAGTTACATCGCAGTTTCTTGTTGTTGTATTTTATTGATACGATAAATATTTCGATAACAGAACTTTATATGTTAGATGTTGAAACTCGTTTTTAAGATATGTCGGTTTCTGTACAAGGTACTTGTTCTGTAAAGTTTATTTCTAGCTAATATTTACGCTTATCTTGTTTTTTCTTCATAGTTGATATTGATCATGCCATGCAAGAAGAAGAGTATAAACGACAACGAACTCAATATAATGGTGACCAACTGTACGCCAACGTAAGCAGACGTTTTTTTGTTAATTGAGCTATGAGTTTGTGTTGTTATTGTGAAATTTACATTAAACATAAGGAAGCTAAATAGAAAGCCAGATAGATAATACATAGATAGATTTTATTGTAAGTAAATATCGTGAAAAAAAAATCAAATTTATAAAGATATTCTAGAATAATATATTTTTTAACTTGTCACCTTACACGGTAAGAGTAAATAGACTGATTACTTTAGTTTACTTATTTATTTGAGAACTTTGATTTTTTTTCTGAACAGGTAACCAGAAGTGTACTACAGGATACCCCTGTTCTATTCCACCAAATGTGGCCTAAGTGGGGGAAACAGGATGACTTAAAAAACGATTTACCTATGGGTATCCCCAACGGCTCTCCCTACCCCTTGCAACAATTTCCGACACCTCCTGAACAACCCTTTACTCCCGTGGTCTCATCAACAGGGAACGATCAAATGAAGCCTGAGGGTCTTCATCTGTATGAGGGCATGATGAATTCTATAAATTCCCAAGTCCAGTCAACAGCAGTTTATTCACCACCTTTAGGTATTGTTGTTATGTTATTCTAGTCATTGTCAAGGCCCTGTAGCCAGAAGCAATTTATTCGCCACCCCTAATATTGTTCTTTTGTTATTCTAGTCATATTTAGATATCTTAGTCAATAGTAATTTATTCGCCATTCCTAGATATTGTTGCTATATTATTTTAGTCGTACAGGTTTATATACAGCACCAAGTTATTCGCCATCCACAGATATTATTGTTAAGTTACTCTTCTCATTTTCAAGGAGAAATTGCAAAAATATTGTTCAACCACATAAATAAATTTATTAACATTATTTAACCATCTTCCCGATTCTTGACTTTAAAGGAAGTGTCGAACTGACATATATTTCTATTCTATGGGATTTCGCATGACATGATTTCTACCAAATAATGTAGGACGGGCAGATCCTATTTGTAAGTATGTTGAAATAAAAAAATAGTTCATGTATGCTGGTGAGCAGGATTTTGTAAGTTGTTTTTGTTTTATTTATTAATGAAGGCTTCCTTGTCGATTTTTTAACTAGCTATAAAATGTATTCTCGTTCTATCTTTGTCTTTTGAGCATGATCCTTCTCTGCTTTCACTTCTATGTGGATGTAGATACACAATGGCGTGTTGAGGAAGGTTTCAAAAAAGCATGTTAACTTCCAATATACGTATTACGTTATCCATTCATCCTGTTTGTTCGTTTTGAATTTCGCGCAAAGCTACACGAGGGCTATCTGCGTCAGCCGTTCCTAATTTAGCAGTGTAAGACTAGAGGGAAGGCAGCTAGTCATCACCACCCACCGCCAACTCTTGGGCTACTCTTTAACCAACGAATAGTGGGATTGACCGTTACATTATAATGCCCCCACGGCTGAAAGGGCGAGCATGATTAGTGGGACGGGATTCGAACCCGCGCCTCTTAGATTGGAATCAAGCGCCCTAACCACCTGGCCATTTTGCCGTTAGAAGGGAGGAGATATATACTATAATAGATGCTTGTTTTTCTCTCAGTTTTACTTGAAGTAAAAACAAATAAACCAAATCAACTTACGTGAACAAAATCACGGAAATTTAGAATGTAAATGGAAAGCTCACTGAGGACGCCACATGCACCAACCAATAAAAGAGCATAGCTTCTGTTATGCATCATTTAAGATCGAATGACAAACAATTTGAACTTTTAAGTAACTAGCAAAATGCTTACGTTTCCTCATAAAGTAAAATAAAGGAAACAAAAACTGTGCAAGTGAGGAAAGTAAGCGAAAGTCGATTGAAAATGCTAGGAAACGTGAGTTTTTGTACCTAACTACTGCTCACACTAACTACAGTGCAAAACAGTATTTCCCGATAGTCGTTACAAGCTAATATCTTTGTTCTCGTCAGTGACGGGACAAACCGTCGGGCAGAAGGTTGATTAACCAGTAATGTTGGTTTTTGAGCAACAGGTGGCGCCGGCCGATCATGATATTCTACTCTTATCTGAATCAGTCAACTGAAAAGTTTTGTCGTAAGAGTTCGATTTTTTTATATATATATTTTTACTTCTTCTGGTACTTCAACAATCTTTATTTTTGGAAAACCACTTGTTAGTAGGAGGTCCAACCAAACCCTAGAGCAACGCTATCTTCCAAACAGCAATGCGCTCTCATGAAAATTCCCAAAAATTACTGGCTTTTGAACTACTTTGCGTGACGCATGTTAAAATTGTAGTACACCTATTTCCAGAGAAAACGTAATAGTGAATTTACGATGAAAAGCACTTAGAGAGGATATAGTTGTTGTGTTTAACGTGGATTTATCTTTTTATTTACGAACACAATGTATGACCGGTTTTGAATATGCCAAAGCTCTGAATAGAATTCAGCTGAACAACATACGCTTCTCTAAAATATTGTGAAAAAGAAACAGATTTAAAACTTATGATCGTGTGTGTGTTTGTGTGTAGATGATTTCTGCCTATCCCCCGAGATTCTAAGAGACAAGGACTGGTATTTCCAAATTTTCTGCCCTTTTAGATTTTCAGCACAATTATATTTATTTGGAAAATTGACATTGTAACTGTGTTCGCCTGAAATGTGTTTGGAATGAATTTCCTTTCGACATGCGTATTCACAGTAAAAATATTATTTGATTTTTTTCCAGGAATGCCACTAATACATTTGAATATTTAAAACAGATTTTTGAAAATCACCTAAATAATTATTTATATTGCATAAGCCAATATCTGCCTTAATTCTTGTTATTGGGTAATTTTGTAAATGACTTGTTTGTTTTGCTTTTTGAACCACTGTAATAAAATCTCAACAAAACAATTAGCTAACCTATTGTTTAAATCATAGTAAGTAATAATTAATAGGTTTGGTCATGCCATTGTTACAAAGCCTTTTTCTCGGAGCGTTTACTTTCTAATTGGCAAACCTCAACGTATAAATCCCCCCAGTGGCTCAGCAGTAAGTCAGTAGATTGTGACGCTAAAATTCGAATTTCGATACCCGTGTTGGGCAGCCCATTTTATATTTTTGCGCTTAAAGAAGCACGAAGTAGTAACCCTTAGCACCCCTAGCGTGATTGTCTTACTTTATAATGTCAATAACTCGTGCACTAGGTATTCTGTATAACAAGGGAATCAATTACGTAACACCCTGTATAATTAATGTATCTACCGTAGTGCATAAACTTGTGAAATGGGAGTTGAAGAATATCGATGTAACTGACATTAAATAATGGGATGGATTTTTAAAAGAAAACTGCTCAAAATAGAAACCGTTCTGCATCGTAGTTTCATGGTAAGAACTAGTAGAAAGTTGTGTTTTAACGACGATATATAAATCAACATTAAGATGATAATTCGTTTCATATGAAAGTGACATAGAACTTTCCATACGTCATGGACCGCCACGTGTCTCAAAAGATTTAAGCGGGAATGAAAGAAACGCTATGTTAGAAAACTTAATGACGTTTATCTTTGTCAGTAGCACATTAGTCGTGGTTTATTAATAGAATGTCGTGCACTCTTCTTGAGTTAATCACAAAACAAGAAAATTTGAATTTACATCGTACTATAAAACCTTTCATTATGGCAACGGAGACTCACATTAACGATATGTAGCAGTGATAGACTTGGTACGAACTCAAACACACCGTCCACGATTGTTTTACGTCTATAGTTGAGATGTGAATCCAGCTTGTTACAATAGCCACATTTTTTGTGAAAACTTATGTTTAAAACAAGTGAAACACAACTTCAGTTGTAAATAGACATTAGTAAAAAGAACAGAAAAAAAGAGATTTGTTGTTTAGCTCTTACACATTTCGGTACTAGATAATACTGAATTTATATATATATATTTGTAAAACTTTTTTAACGTTGTGTTATCAGCTTTTATTAGGCACGGAACATATTATTATGTTAAATCTTATTGTTTCTACCTGCTGTTAACGTGTTTAAATTATAAAAATTCTGTTTAAAAACAAATGTTTTAGTGAGAGTACTGATCCAAGCTTATGAGTAGAATGTGAAGTTAAAAGCTAGAAATTAGTGTCTATTATTTGGATTAATAACTTGCTGGCTTACTAAATGCTAACTAAAAGAAAAGTATTTTTACCAAAAAAACTCATTATAAGCTACAAAACGTTTCCGTGAGGATTCGGATTAGACTTGGAAATGTGTCAAAGGATTTCATATTGCTTATTGAGTCAATTGGCTGAAACATGCCCACATTTTATTCATCTTTAATACGCGAATAGTAGCACTTTTGTTACTGAACAACAAATTCTTAGAAACTAGCCATTATTCAACATGTATTTATATTAATAACATGTGTTTTGTACTCTTACTTCAGAGTTATTTCGCATACTGATTAACGGCAGCTTAACTTACAAGGTGATGGGGGGGCGATTTTACAGTGTTCCTGTTATTAACGTCGGGGGGCCTATCCCCCTTTCAAAGACTTCTAACAAAATAAATTTCTCATCTTGTCTGGAGATTATCCGTATTGAATATTTGGAAGTGATCTATGGTAAAACTACTGACGAAACAGAAAACGCGCCAAACATCAATGGTGACGGGATTTTCCGGTTTATACTATTGTTCTCTATCTGGTGTCTGTAAGAATGGTCAACCCGTGTGAGTTTCGACCCAATCCGGCAATATAGCCTTTCTATCTTTTTAAGATTTCCCATCTTTTCATAAAATCCACGTCGTTTTATCTTCTCAAATTCTGACAGTGGATTAGACTTCTAATCAAAATTCCCTCACTTAGTTCATTTTATAATAGAACGTGCTTTCATAAAATTAAGTTTGAGAAGGGGACAGACACATGTCTCCTGTTTATTTTGTCATAGTTTCTTATATTAACCTTCTTATCTGATCAGAATAAATATAGGTTTTCTTGTATCAAACTAGACATTTTATATAGGAAGTTTCTTAATTAATTTTGTTACAGTTTCTATGGTACTTGATCCTTGTACACAGTAGTTACAGACGGGGCTGAGGTGCCAATTTTGGATGCACGTAGGCCCGACGTCTAGAACTAGCTCATCTTTATTGGTGAAGTACTGGTAAAGTGCCCTAAATGGGATCCGAAGTGGAACATAGTTGTTCATCGCCAACATTTGGGTGCTGTAATAAATAGAAAAAACAGGAATTATTCTTTATGCACGCTAGACAGTTAAGTGCACTAAGATAGGCACATAACCTGTTTTGAGTTTATACTTGGCTTTAACATTAAATCAGATCGCTAATAGTATACCGTGCAATTAGGGTTTGTGTCTTGCTATGTAACATTGTTATCTGGATGGTTATTACAGTTAAATGTCTATGTCTTATCTTGTTAGATTTGTATTATAATAACTAGTTCAATGTCCTCGTTCTGCTCTCAGTAAACAAGCATTATGTCCAAAAATGAAGAAAAACCTTCGTTATCGGGTATTTTGTGGCTCATGAAACTTAAATAGTTCTTTCACAACTAACTCAAACGTTTCTAGTCTTTATTTAGTTACTTTTGTGAACTCTTTAGTTATTTTTTGGTTTTTGAAGCAATAATTATCCTATCCTCTATTAAACGAACGTTTTTTTCAACAAAGTGGATTAGAAAACAAACTTTTGGAAAATTTCCTTTAAAAAGAGGACTTTCTTTTTGCTTAATATAGCTTCGAACTAAATTAATGAGAGTACGATAGAAGCTCATAAAAAGTGTTAATCCGACATGACGTTCAATCTTTAAAGGCAGTTTAAGAGAAGACTTGCAGATGTTAAACTTATTACCTTATTGGTTCCCATTGGGCGAATAAAATTATAGGTTTCTAAAGACCGAATTATTACAATTTCATTTTATTTTTTGCAAGTGTTTTCATTTGAGAAAGTAGAACGGTCATGAAACCTGTTGATTTTGAATGAGTTATTTGTAAAAGATCAGTATAAGCAAAGATTCTTGGATATCACTGAATGTATTTGTATATATCTATATAATGACCTAAGAAAATACTTCTTTTGCATAAATATATACTTATTTATATTTATTTGTAATCATACATCTTTACAAACATCAATACATTCATATATATATATATATATATTTAATTATGTAAATAATTCTGTGACCTTATATTAAAACACATATATATACAATAGAATTATTTAGACATGTTTGTTTCTTATAGGAAAAAATTAATCATTAGTTTTTAAACCATTATCAGAAATGAGTAAATGCTTGTTATTTGTTTTAAACTAGGAGTTTAAGGAAGTATTGTATCTTTCTGTTTATATTTCGTTCTTTCTTGCTATAGAAATTCCGATTATATATATATTATTCTCTTCTTCCTCTCCAGAATGTGGTGTCGGGATTTTCCAGTTTTTACTATTGTTCTCTATCTGGTGTCTGTAAGAATGGTCAACCCATGTGAGTTTCGACCCAATCCGGCAATATAGCCTTTCTATCTTTGTGGGATTCCCCAGCTTTTCTTACAATCCACATCGCTCTATCTTCTCAAATTCTGACAGCTTTCCTCCACTCGTGGTGCGATAATTTGTTGTTTTGTCTCTACAGGAAGTGGCTCCTTGACCCCCCTGACTCCAATCAGTATGCAAGAAGTGAAGTCTCTGTCGGTTAGCCCCGGTAACATCTTAGATAACAGTATTTCCCCTTTATCTTACCAACCAGGTGTGTGAGTTGGAATTAATTAAGTTTACTATATCTTACAAATTAAAAAAAAGAGCTAATTATGATATAAATGGTAATTTGTTTCTTCCCAATCAATAACTCCGAAGCATAACTTTATTTAAAATACTATTATTGCATGTTTACACTTGAATTATCCACAGATTATTCTTAAAGAATAACCACAACGTTCGTTTATCTAATACAAAAATACATTCTGTTAAAAACCTCCTTCTCTTAGTCAATACAGTGATGAAATGTGAAAAAAATATTACGGTTATCAAAAAATGGAAAAGTTTGTGTGATAAACATTATACTCTCTTCAAGAGAAATTGGTCAAAATAAGTAATGTCTGTAGCTTGTGGTATCAAATATCAAGTTAAACGCCTCAGTATAGTTAATCGAGTTCAATAACATTGTCTGCTTTGCCTAAGTTATATTTTTAATACTGTTATGTCCTTTACGTTTATCTTAATTTTCTTTCATGAATGTCATGTCATCGTTTCTATAGTATTATTTGTAAGTTAATTTTGTTAGTTATTTTTGAACTGCTTTTCACTGCTTTTAGAATTACAAACAGAACTCATTTTGTGAGATCTGACAATCAATATATATAAAGCTTTAAGTCGAATGTAAACATCAAAACCATGGTAATAAACTTGTCTAAATAAAACAGCCCTTCTTTTAATTATAACGATCGGTAAATCTATGTAAATATCATTTTGTCCACCTCAAAAAAAAAAAAAACTCTTCCATTTCGTGCATGAGGCTTCAGAAAATACCCTAAATATTTCCTATTCAACAGGATACTTCTGTACAGAGTTATTAAGCTTATGCTCGCTAAATCCACCCAAGTGGATATCCTTCTACAAGCTCTCCAAATCCTGCTCTATCAATTTTATTACCCTTGCCCTCGGAGAGAGGGTGGGGGTATTGTAATCAGCTCCGTGTGTGTTGTGTCTGCGTTTCCGCGCACGTATCTCGAAACTAATTGACCGATGTACACGAAAATTTTACAAAAGATGGGAAGTCAGTATGGGACAGTTCTCCCCAGATTTGATCTGGATCCAAGTCAGGATCCGGATTCTGGATTACTTTGAACCTTTTTTTTATAATGGTGAGATAGGGCATATTCGCGGTTTTGGGTTAGTAACTCTGTGAAGTGTGATCTGATTTGTACGAAATTTCATGGGCACATTAAGGTTGAGACTCCCTCTCATTCTACAAAAGTTATCCGGATTGTTGATCATTCTAGATCTGAGAAGGATTTTCTGAGTTTTCGAAGGTGATATTCGACGTTATCCAATATAGACGCCTGTAATCTCGAAAAGGAGCGGCGGGGCGAGGGTATGCAATCTCTATGATTGCTCTTGTTAAGCTCTGTAAATCCAATCAAGAGGAATCACTTGTATACTCACTTTTTATACCCATCAAAAAGGAATCACTTCTCTACTCAGTATTTAAGCTCTTTAAGTCTACCTAAATAAAGATATTAAATGTTTGATACTATGTTACATACTTAAGTGAAAATATTGATAATAATGATGAGTTCATAGGTGTATTTACGAAAAATTGTATGTCATTGTCTAATATTATGTTTACGTTTATTATTTAAAGAGTATTAAAGTTTCTCACTTGTTTATTTTATCTAAAATAAGCCTTTTTAAGTTCTTAACATGAGGACGCGTCTAAACATAGTGAACTGTGAAATTTTATGTATGCAATAACTAACATGTTTGGGTATGGGATTATGAGGTAACTAACATGTTCAGCATGATGTCCTGGTAACAAAACTGGATCTTACAATAGAATTGAATACTTGTGGAGTTTCCTAACAATTTGGAGCTAACACCTATTATTATATTCAAAATAAAATTGCTTACGTAAGTAACTAGTACACAAGTTTAACGTCAGGGGAACAAGAATATAATGCGGTGGCGGTGTCGATGTCTGGGTGAATGGGTAAACGTTTATCTCTGTTGATAGGGAGTCAGTAAAATATTATGAATTCGCAGTAACAACTAACACAAATCAAATCGTAACCAAGATAAAACAATGATGATAATTGTTTAATTAAGTCTCTATTCCTCTGGTTATGGTTGAAGCTTCTGCATGCTTATTTGCCGATTTCCACATTTTTCACTGCTTTCCGTGTGAGAGTTTCATGAGACTCCACTTTTAAGTTACATTTGTTATCCTTCTGCGTTTAATAAATTAAATTCACAATGAGTTAACATTTCCTTTGTCCTATTTATTAGAAAAGCTTCTCATTAATATATGTTGCATATATTTTTTTCTTGCACTTTAGAGCTTTCTTCTAATTCAGCTTACCAGTTTTCTCGTAGTTCAATATGCATGTTGTAGATTTTCTAAAATGTCTTTCCTTAAATACAATCATTATTTCTGTTTGCATGTGACGTAGCGATGGCGTGTTGTGACGTCATACCCTCGCATGTTCTTCCATTAGGCGGAAGTGATGTAGAAAATAGTCCATCTCCAGTAAAAGCGGACACTCCTACTTCCTCTTCTTTCACCGTGCTCCAACCACTTCAAAATACAACATTTAATACGAATAGTCCATATGATTCCCTTGACTCTTATGGACAATACCCAGGCAAGTGATGCCGCTATCGCTTATCTGACTTCGTTAATGGGTAGAGTACGCTAAACTGATAGGGATACCACTGACAACATCGTCTCTTATCATGCACTCGCTATATTAACCCGTAAGGTTGTTTTCCAACCTTCGTAAAGTTGTAAACTACTTGTTATAGGTAACACAGGAATTCTGCGTTGTCAGTCTCTCATTTGTATGCTTGGAAAATAGAGTTACTATCAAAATTAAAGTGCAGTTTATAAGATTGATGTTGTCAGTAGCAGGATGAAGAAGCAGAACTTTATTATTACACATGTATATATGTATATAATTAAAAAAACAATCGTGTAAATAATAGCTATTAGTTGCACTAAAAGTTAACCTATAATGTAGCAATAACGTTTAATTTTGTGAGTTTATATGTAATCTGACATTGTCAGTTCTAAAGCAGATATTTTCAACTTATTAAAGTTGATTTTAATTACCTATATTTTTTAAAATGGTGAAAGGTGTTCTAGAATTATGTTATGTTCATTTTGATGACGTTAAGAAATCGTCATTTTACCACATTACAAAGACGAAAATAGTGCGGAGTAGTGTTTTCTTTATTTCACTTCCTATTTTTATCTGTTTCTTGGCAGATAATCAGTGAATATAGTTCTTTCCTGACATAACTAAGCCTTATTAGATCATTAAAATGACATCTATTTTGGAACTGGTGTGATTAACTATTTCTTTAAGGAAAACATAGATTTTCTGTGTTCGATAACAAAGGTTCTTATAGATAGCCGTTCGGCTGTGTAGCTCATTATACACTTACTGGAATATCATGGCCTAATAAATGAAACGGGTTTTTGTAAGTAATTCGTGAACCATATCCTCCTTTTAAAGTTTTTGGCATTCTTACCCCCCTTTGTGCATTCAGAGACTTTCTTTATTTTATTTTTCAAAGGAAAAAAAATGTTTATTTGCTGTGAAGCTCTACTGCAACCTAAACAGATTTGAGGAGATACTGTTGAAAAATAACCCCTCATTTCTGTTTTCTGCTCTGCATATTTTCCACCTGAAGATGGGGTATAGACACATTTAGTTCTGTAAGCTGAAATGCTGACTAACTTGTCAACCCTTTTTCGGTAGAGATGGCCCAAGAATCCAATCCGATGATGTAATTTCGTCTCTTGTTCAGTTTACAAGCCTTATAAAACAATTTGTTATTATAATGTAACAACAGATTATCAGAATTTTTTAACTGTTCGAAAACGTGTGATGTAGCATGATAAATCACGAAAACCTTTTTTTCTTATCATGTCAAACTTGAATCCAACGCGATGGGTAAGTATATATAAATAACTAAAGAAAGTTGCATAATTTACTCAGTGTAAAAAATAGTTGAAATTAACGCGATTTCCTTACCTCTTTTTATTCCAAAAATTCGATTTAATCAATATTTGTATTTGCTTGTACAGTAACGGCCGGAGGAATCGGACCCACAGGTGTCACTGGTGTTCCCGCCACTGACTATACATATACCTCTCCTTACAGTCAGTATTCTTCTGCTGCAGCTTACGGTGTTTATGGCTATAGTTCAAACGGTATTATCAGTAAGTAAAATTTAGCTGTATAAAACGTTAAAACGAAAATAACATCAGTAACTGAATACCAAATCGCTAAATGTTACATTTATAAGAAAAAAAGCTTTGACGAACTTTGCTAGTCTGAATAGTATTACGTTTGTACAATTATAATGACTTTTGTGTATCAATGCTTCCTCTTGAATAATTCTAGTAATTTATACCAACTAAATTATTCATTTAAATAATTCCATTCTTAAATGTTTTACTAATTAGCCTCAGAAATTACCAAGAAAAGTAGTGCCAAAAGAAAATATTATTAGATTCTATTTTATTCTAATATTTGAGGCTATGTAGATGTCTTGGTTTTTTTCCACAGTTAAGTTTTGTACTCTAAAATGTCATTTCTCCAAAATCTTTCTGTATCAAAGCAAATAGTCGGTCATTTTTTTACCGATCATTTCATTCATCGTATTTCAGATCCATCCTATTATTATACTCATGGAGCCAGACCTGCATCAGCGAACACCACGGGACACGGAGGGCCACCAATCAGCCCCAATACTTTCAAAGCTGAAAGGTGTTAGTTCTTCCAGAAGATTTGGAGCGTTCAAATCAATCAGGACATAGAAGTGAATTGACGCCACCGACTGATGTGTGCTAAAAAAAGAGGCGATATATGCGATGTAGCTATTCACTTCTCCTCAGGGGCAGCTAATATTCTTTGGGGAAACGCCTAATAGGGTTACCTACCTCTTACGACTAAGTCATCTTCGAATGAAAAGAAAAAGAAACGAATTTAAAGTATGACCAAATTGGTCAGTGGAAATCCCCTATTTTTTTACTGTTATTAAATATATGATGAAACAACGAGAGGGCGCTCATCGAAACATCTTCACTGATATGTGTTTTTTGAGAGGCTCAAACCATGAACTGGATGTTGACGAAAAGGAAAATAGAATTTGGGTTTAAAAGAATCTTTAAGTTATATCTATAATCTATTTGTATAAGCTTTAAATATGCCTTAGTAATCTCAAAGCTCATGTTTTGTTTTTTTGCATTCGTATATGAAAAAAAATATATTTTGTTCGTCATTTCATATTTTTAGATAGCTCATTTTCGTCGTATCACAATGTTTATATATTGTTAATTAGCTCATTTCCGGTGTGTCACAATCTTTTCCGGATTTAAACTGTTTCTTAACCTAGGTCACTTAATAAACACCATATAGAGACTCCTCTAAAACCAAATGTCCGAAGTTGATACATTTTGCGATATCGAATTGACAACCAAAACTATTCCATTATGGGTTCACTAAAGTCATTTTTATGTATCTGTATCTTGGATATGTTTGATAAAGTTTTTAAACAACGACACATTTGTGGATGTCTTTGACTGTGTTGACCTCTCTGACATTTTGTTTTAGAAGAGAACAAAAATACTATTGTAGTCACATCTCTTATAGTCATATTTATATTTAATTTTGTGTATAAGTTAATGATTTTGAAAGGCATGGCTCTTTGAGTTCCTCCACTATGGCGGCTTCAGTTTACGATACCTAAACTATTCCACTTTTGATATGTTGTTTTAAACAAACAAATATTATTTTAGCCTGGCTTACTAATGTAAGGCGATCCTAGGTATGGAAGAAAAGTTAAACAGAAACTCCGTGACGGAAGCGCTCGCAGGGCCTAGCCATACCTGCTATTTATCGTTCAGTGTACTTAAAATGTCTGTTCTTTTTTGTTTATGTTGTGTTGTAATGGGAGGGTTGTTACCTTGCTTATAAGTAATGATCGTGGGTATGAATTGTATGACCAAAGATTTTTTTATCTACATTTCTTTTTGAGGGTATAAACGCTTCTTTTTTTTTTCTTTTTCCTATCCTATATACATTCTTTTTTTTAAAGAGATAAGGCTTGGTTACTTAACAACAAACTGAAAATATATATAATTTGCTTTCGTATTTAGTGGTAAAATACTTAAAATTCCAGCTTTATTCTTCAGACATTTACAACATCTGTAGTAAAAATCAGTAAACAAAAAAGGTACTTTCGAACGTCTTTTTTTCAAATAATGGATATATTTTCTAAAATAAATATTGTTAGCTTATTACTGCACATTTATAAAGTTATATATATATATATAAATATACATAATGTCAATTATATGACTTCATTTTATTATAAGATAGATAAATAGGTCGCTCTGCTTTCTTGCTCTACTTAATTTATTGAAATTGTTTGGATAATTTTAAGCAGGTGTTAAAATACACAATTAAGATGGTATACTTACCATAACTTGTATGATGCGATTAATTTATTGCCCACAACCTTCATGAGCAATTTTTTGACAGTATTGTTTTAACATATACCACCAGTAAGTATGTTATTCTGGTTTTTCGGTCACAGCAGATGTTTTGTAAATATAATTTTCACCGTTTTTTTTGTCAGCACCCTATATCTAGTGAAGTCGTTATTTCACTTGAGCTCTTGGGTTTGCATGTTTCTCTTGAAGAAAAATGATATCTCGTCACTGTAATGTTATATTTAAAATAACTCAAATATTACTGAGAAAACAGGGGAATAAATAGTTGGTTCATTACGAATTCTTGTTCATCTGATTTATTTATTTGTATGTGTCGAAGAACAACGATGATTCTTTTTTTTATTGTAGACTCGTGTTAATGTGCTTTAACAGTAAAATGTCTAAACATGTAAACTGTGGTCAGTATAACATGTGCTTCATGATAAAACTTGCACATTTTTTAGTGTTACTTTATTCATTTAATAAGGGAAATCTACATATTTTAGTACTTGTCCTATCAGATTGTTTTTCAATTGTTTTATCCGGGAAGATAGAAAAAATTAAATTACTCGTTAAAAGGAATAAAGGAATATATGTTACACTTTATTTACAAATAGTCGTGATAATGTAATTAAAATATACAGCGAAGAATATCATATAAACGTGACAAATATTATCCATAAGTACTTACAATACTTTATGCAAAATCATAAGCATAAAAAATTGCGTAACACATTGACTACAATCTCGGTTACTCATGGCAAATGTTACTCGTGAAATTATATTTGGGAAGTTAAGCATAAAATGCGCATACGTGACACATAAAAAAAAGGATTAAATATTTTAAATAATTTGATACCAGAAAGGACTATATATATGCAATATCTAGTACAATCGATGTATAAAATTCACACACGTGTCTCAAAATAACGTTCACTATTATTTCTTTTCTTTACAAGTTTGAGAAAATGAAGCATCTAAAGTGTTATGAATCCGTCAAGCAGCAGCAAAGTTTTATGAAAGTATTGGACACAGTATATGGAAAACTAGTGCTTGATCAACATAAGTTCCTTGTTTCGATTTATACTGAGGGTGGCCAGGTCGTTAATGTGCCGGGCTACAGAACGAAAGATCCCAGATTCGTGCACGGTGTTTCTGAACAAGCTTTGTACTTTCAGCTGTGGGTAGTTATAAGAGTGACAGTTATCTCGATGTTAGTTTCAAAGCCGCGAAAAAAAAACTTGTTGTTGACTGGCTGTTTTACCTATGGTCAGTAGTCCAAAATTACAGAGGTTATACAGCTAATCTGTTTATAGTTATTAGTTTGTATGGTAAAACTTATCATTTTGCGATTCACAAGGAATTGATTATAAATTTGCAATCCGATTCTACCGCAAAGATAGTTGACAACAGAAGATATTAAAAATGTACAAAGTATTAATCTTTGATTATAGTCGATCATTAAAAGAATCAAAAACTTATTTACAGGTCAATTTGACGAAATATATAAAATCACTTAATAATAATTTGTTTTATGCATATTTTTCAAGAAAGAAAATGTTTTCAGTGGGCAAGTTTATTACAATAATATTCCACTTATCCATAAATAAATTGCTTATTAAGCGATGGGTGTGTCTTTCGATGGGGCAGCGGTAAGTCTTGGGATTTACAATGCTAAAATCAGGAGTTCGTTTACCCTCGGTGGACACAGCAGATAGCCCGATGTAGCTTTGCTATAAGAAAAACATGCACATGCGCGGTTTGACGGTAAGTTACTGTGTCATCATATCTAAACAACTGTTTTATATATTGGAAAGGATAAATAATGCTATAAGTATTCAATAATAGAATATATTGGAAAGGATAAATAATGCTATAAGTATTCAATAATAGAATATATTGGGAAGGATAAATAATGCTATAAGTATTCAATAATAGAATATATTGGAAAGGATAAATAATGCTATAAGTATTCAATAATAGAATATATTGGAAAGGATAAATAATGCTATAAGTATTCAATAATAGAAGCATTAAAAGACAACCACAAACCTTTTAGATTAATAATATTTTGGATAGTAATTCCACGTTATCAAGAAGTAAATCTAATAAGAATAGGAAAACGGTTCTAAAGTTAGATACTGAAAATTTATATTATCAACAAGAAAGTCTTAGTATTAGGCCTGTTTCAAACAATACGCCCTTAATCTAGTCCCTTAGGGATTTTTAACAGTTAGAAGAGTGTATAATAACAGTATGTCAACCACACTATAGTTGTCATATTTATTGTCGACGACGCGTTTCGCTCAATCCAGAGCTTTTCAGGCCGGATGGGATATAACAAACACAGTACTGGTCGGAACACTATTTATATAGGCCATTTGTTGTATCAACAATTGTTATGGTTTGTATGCCTTTTACAAGCTAGCGAAGAATTATTACAGTTATACTTTCCATAAGACATTAGTATTAGGCCTATTACATTTTTAAAACTACATTCTTAATCTAGTCCCTTAGGAATTTTCAAGAATACAATTAAAATACAATAAGTCTAATACCAATGTATTATAACATGTATAAAGTATAACTGTAATTATTCTTCGCCGGTTTGTAAAAGGCGTAAACACCATAATAAGAAAGTCTTCTAATTTCAACCAGAACGGCACATATACAATATATTGATTAAAAGGTCAAGCCAACAACCCAACATTCAAGCATAATCGCCCTTAATTTATAGCTGCAGTAATAGAAAGGACAACTAGCCAGCTTTACCTGCCGTCTACATAGCTACAATTAACCAAATGGTAGGCTTGACTGTTCCATTTCTTACATGTCCACAGTTTGTTCAGATTAGTCTACTCTTGCTGAGATTTAAACCCAATTAAAATTTACTTAGGCTGAGACTGACTTAATAGTTATTGTGCCAGGCTGCGGATTGGAAGGTGAAAGGTTCAAGTTCACGATGGTTGCTGAACACACTCTGCACTGTCAGTTAATGTTGCATTTAAGTAAATCAAACCTAAAGAAATTATCGTTGCCGACCACAATTAATTAGATAGCTAACTTATACTAAACTAAATTGAAATTTCTAAACTACAGATATATACAAAAACTGAATTCAAACTCAAACAGTTAATGTTCTTAAGGTGTAATAATTAACAAGGATAAGCTACGCGATATAGAAAAACAAAAACTTCTGTTTCCCAGAAGCCAAATCACATGGTATTTAAGATGAAAATTCAATTTTATAAAATTATAAATACACAGCTGAAAGTTCATGGCAATTATAAGTAATCAATGAGAATGCAATTGCTTCTTCGTTTCAAATATATGATATGTGGGAAATAAAAGTAATAAAAATGGTGTTATACAGATCACATTTCAAGCATTATCATGCAGAATCTCACTGTTACCGTAAATACTCGCGTATAGTGCGCACTTTTTCCTAACTTTTTGGGCTCAGATAAGAGTGCGCACAATACGAGGAAACAGTATTATTTCAGTATTTTTCAAGTGAAATTTTCAATTCGAGTGTTGTCTCAACACACCTTATACTCTGACGTCACCATCGTTTGTTGCTACCGGATCACCTGAAGTAAAAAAAAAAAAGAACCATAACGACAAAAATGAGCAAAAGTCTGAATTCATGTCATTTATCTTTTAGGCTTCAAGTCATACATGTATAACGGGTTCATTTTGTCAACCACAA